AACTAAATGAAGTTTTTTGTTAAGATAAGTATTTTTAAGTCCGTATTCACAACCCAGAAATCAAATCCTCCAGAAGTTGAAAAAGTTGAACGTAAAGCTGAATATGAAGACGCGATCGGATTAACATCATATTAAAAACTAAACACATCACGTCAGCATAGTCCAATACTGAGAAACGAATCACTTGACTTGAATCACAGTTAATCACCGAGCTCATCGCCCGTGACAGTGGATTAGGAAGCATAGATATAGATAAAAAGATAAAACACGTGAAATCTAATTTAGAAATGAAAAATAAAAAACCGATTTCGCAAAAACGAAATGCTGAGTACCAATCCAAATATAGGAAAAAGTGAAAAACTTTACTGACCAAGATTTGTGAAAAGCATCCAGGTGTAATGAAAAAAGTAATCACCCGATTATATATACATTTAACTATTTATTTGTTTAACATGCGAAATGTTGCTAAAATGAATTAAATTTGCAAATACGACTTGCAGACAGTCCTGGCCGTCCAAGACTCGAAAAGTATCAATTCAAAATTATTAATGTTATTACTAATATAGCTATGTTTGGAAGTCAAACCGATCAAAGGAGAAGGTCACAGATTATTTATTCAAGTCGCACTCTTTATGTTCTACATAAAGCTCTTCTTAAGGAAGTATTTGAATGATTCCGAAGTGTCACCTATCTCCGTTTACTACCTCGCGATTCATGAACAAGTGAAGGCAAAAAACATATTAAAACGGCTCCCGTGAATCTAGTTAGAGCGACAACAGATCTACATAAATCTCATGTCGATCAACAGTTTTTTATAGCAATTATTATATATCTAAAGAGTTTTGCATCTATGCTTGGCCCAAATCAGGTTTCCTTCAAATCACAGATGCTTTCTGTTCACCAACCTAAGTTTGATTAATTAAATAATACTTTGAATTGAAAAGGATTCTTTTTTCACAGGAAGACAAAGCAAATTGGAATGACAGCTGCTCATTAATAGTCACCAGCACTAATACATATGGAGTATCGTATTCGTCTTCTAGATCACGATTGCAGAGCGCTATAAATTAATACCGTCTGTTTATAGAGCAATGCGGATAGAAAAAGGAGGAATGGGTAAGCCTGACGCTGTCACTTACGGTGGCTCTACATATATTGCAATCACATCTGGAAAACACCAGTCATCTACTGCAAAAATCCACTGTTCTAATTACAGTCGAATTTTACAATTCCCAGAGTTCGCAGATTTTGCCTCAAAACCAGTGGTTATATTTTTCAGTCAATGGGGCCCTGATGAAAATCTTAGGCATCCAAAAGTTATTACAAGTACTGTAAAAAAAAAATAAGGAGCTTAACTTAGATGCCGTTTTTGTAGCCACAAATGCACCTGGTGCATTCAAAAGGGTTAAACGACGTACGGCACCGTTGCGTCTTCCATTGTCTAGTCTGGTGCTACCGCATGATACTTTCGGCAACCATCTCGATGCAAGTGGAAAAACTACCAATTGTAAATTAGAGCTGAAAAACTTTGCTTAGGCAGGTAAAATTTTGTCAGAGATTTGGAATTCAATTATTAAACATAATGAACCATTAGTAGCAGAATATTCGCCTCCAGATAATGAAGACGTTGAAGAAATAATAGATGTATTAGATGATCAACATTGGTATACAAGGCAAGAGTCCTAATACTTTTTATAAATTGTAAAATTCACTAATAAGGAAGGCTGTGGTGATATAAGGAGTGATATTCGTAAAATCATTCTGCAAGGGTTTTTTCCCTTGTAGAATGCAATATAAATATAGAAATATATATATTTGATTACCTACATATTTTTATTTTTGGTAGTAATAAACTTTGGATTTAACCAAAAAATTAAAATTATTAATAAATATTCATTTATTATATAATAATAAAGCAACAATTCTAAAAATTGTTGCTTTGAAAAATAAACCTTAAAACAAACCAAACGTGTGTCCATTTTTTCCTTTAGATTCTTACGTAATAAATGTTAAACAGGGGGGGAGAGGGTCGACCTATTCTTATTTTTTCTTATAATGGGGGGGAAGGAGTCAAAACTAGCGAAAATAGTCTTACGTAATAAATAAATGGCACCTAATCGCCTAATGCACTTTAAAATTTAGATAATTGAACGTAACATTAAAGTAAATGCACTTTTTTAAACAATATTTTATAATATGATTCATATTAATACACAATGATTCATTTCAATTAACAATACAAAACACAACAATACAAAAATTCAATACCCAAAACAATAATATTATTTGTCTGATTTGTCATATTAATGTAAAATAATATAGTAGTTAATTTGCACATCTTATAGAGAAATCATAAAATTTGATGTTATTGCAAAATATAGGTACAATGTTCTTAATTTGAATTTATTATTAATTTGTTTAAATGCTTTGGCACGTTATTGAAAAATAATTACTGATAAATGTAAGCCGAAAACAAATAGTTTTAATTGAGTTTTGACTAATTTATGGTGTTATTTTGATAAAATTTTAATTGCTATGCAGGAAGTTTGTATGAAAGTAAGAAACTTTTGAGTCTGTTTAAATCAAGTGACGATGCAGCCGCCGTTGTCAAGAGAGTATATGCTAGTGGATCTTGTAAAATGTAAAGAAAATTTTACTTTCAGTCAAAGGGTCCAACACCAGCTGGTTCCACATTCGTTGTGTTTGTTGGCGGATCTGAAATGTATTCACTGAAGAAAAATATCACCATGTTGGATTTTGCAAGAACAAAAATAGAACCTTGCTTTCCACTTATTCGACCCTACGAAAAACCAGCAAATGATATAATGTTCTAGTGATCACTAAAGAAAGTAACTTTATAAAAAGAAGTAAGACAAGAGTCGTAGAGAAGTTGTATTGCTGTATTTTTTATTAGCGAATTTATCAATATAAGTAAATGAAAGGCATAAGATACAATGCAGATATTTAATTTATATTCAGTGAGACAAGAGGTTCAGGGCGTATGGTTGTTCTTTATGTGACCACTGACATATGATAAACATTGAATACTATGTAAATAATCGGCGCCACCCAAGAACAAGTGCTGAGAAAAGATATATAATCAAAGTTAATGATATTCACAATCAAACGTTGTAGGTAGGTACCTGATTTTAAACATTGAACTGGATTCACTTCCCACCTATATTTGTTCTTAGACTCTCATCTGTGATGAAACCTAGGCAGTAGGCTGTGCAGGCAGATGTTTCTTAGCAAAAATATTGCTGGCTAAGGCTGCCTCAGAAATGAAACACTGTGCACTTCCTAATCGTCTGCGCATCCAAACTTCAGACATCCATTTTTGCAGGGATGAAAAAAAGGATCCTAGAACTATCATAGATACGTGTCAATGATTATGACAGGGATAACAGATTTCTGAACAAAACATCGTACTTTCCCGTTGCTTAGGCAGATCCCGCGATAAATATTTATATTAGACAAGAGAACGTCGACTGATTATTGTTCCTTGAAAGAAATTTAGGTTTCACAATGCATGTCCAGACGCTTTTCCAATCAGGAAAAGAATACCCACAAATTTTAGTATTTGATAAAGTGAACTTCGATATGACGCGAATGACAGATGACAGATCAATCTAATGAAGGATTGAATGACAATAACAGTTCGATATTTAAATCTTCATTTCTTCTAATTAGAATCGAGTTATAAGTGCAAAAAAGTGGATTTACTTTTAATCTAAACGAATTATTGATTTATCAGAATAACTATTACTTGTCGTTCAGAAGCTATTATCAAAGAACTATTTAATGAGGGAATTTCTTTGCTAGTAAACACCAATTTTGAAGTATTACAAAATCTAATTGAAAAGTTCAAATTTTGGTACCAGATAGTATTGTATATTTTCATAGTAAAACAATTCCGCTAAAGAGAGAAAAGAATAATTTAAAATTTTTCATAGTTATATCAAAATACTGCTAATCGTGAAAATAGAATATTTGAAATAAAAAAAGAGAGAAAGACAGGGCTCATATCATACAGAAAATTTTGCTTTTCATAAAAATAAATAGGAGACACACAAAAAGAAATATCTGAACTTGAATATCCTAATTTTATACATGAAGCCAATAATTATGGTCAGAATGAAAAACCGTAAATGAAAAAGAAGGTTGATCAAAACGATGAAATTAATGTAAATAGCTTGACTAAAGTCACATACTTGAAAAAAAATTCCTTTCACAGGGATTCGTAGCAAAAGAACAAATTCAAGGGTTAGCGGTGGGTTACATGCTGCATGCTGCAAGTTGCAAGCGTCTAAATATGGATTTTTGCGAAATAGTACATGACAAAATAGAATGTAAACTGTAAGCACTACAACATAAACTTTTTAATCTATCCGCATTCAAAGTGTTTGGGTTACACCCGGTTGGAACGAAGTTCTTTTCGCTATAAGTTTATATATTCTATGAATTGAATAACAATAATGAAATCAATTAAATAAATATTTTGTAAGTAATTAAATAATTAATAATAATAATATAAGTGAATAAATGGTAAGAAATATTTGTAAGTGGTAAATAAACATTATTTTATTTATTATTAATATTCTAAAAAATACTAAACAGTTTCATTTATTTTATTTATTAAAAACTGTTAAGTTCGTCAATATGCACAATCATGTAATTAAGAAATAAAAATAAATGATACACTTTCACATATTTATATAAGTATTCATTTATTTAAATTTTAAAATTGAATACTCTCCAGAACTGAATCAATCCAAGAGTTATATTTAATATTTTAGGAAAAAAAGGCAATTATATATCAACACAATAAAATAAATTAACAACTCTTGTTGTTAATTTATTTCATTGAGACTTATGAAAAGGAAAACACAACAAAAATAATGAAGGAGTGGTAATAAAATATTCTAATAAAAACTATAATTAACATATTCATAATTATCATAAATTGCAATAACAAGAATGCAACCCTAAAAAAAGCGATCATCACGCTGCGTTCCCAGGCTGTCGTACATCCAAGTACTGACCGCACCCGATGCTGCTTAACTTTAGTGATCGGGTGAGAATCGGTGTATTCAGTGTGATGGGGACGTTGGCAACTAAATTTATAAAAATGTTGACTAAAGCAATAGCGGTCAACATTTTTCATTGCGGTTACACTTTTTATTCGTGTAGTTGCCATCCACCGAACGCTTGAGTGTAACATGCGATAAGAAACTCCGTTCCAATAAATTATTTAAGTCCTCTGCACTGCAAAATAATATGAAGCATACAGTATGACAAACAAAATTAAAATCTTATGGCGAATTTTAAAATACTGACTATATTAAGTGTGAAGCGGACATAAAAATCAAAAAATGACGATTAGAAAGCGACAATTATATATAAGAAAGAAATTGTCCAAAAATTTCTTTCTTCGTCAAACTGCCAGAACAATTATAGACAGCGAGTGTAAAAGTAAGTTATGGTTTTATATTAATCTAAGATTCCATTATATTTCGCTAAAAATATTAGGATTTCACGGCAAACTGTAAAACGGAACAACCTATCCGGTTTAGCTCTGTTGTTATTCAGTATTATAAAGCTGTCTGTAGCTTCATTTTTCTTATTTCGTTTTCACTATCCTGTAGTTGACTTCAAAGTGATTTAATATACATAATGTGCGTAATGTCCCTGTTGAATATTTTACATGTTCTATTTTAATTTCAGAAAGAAACCCAATATGATTTAGAGATCTACCCGCGTATACGTGCACACATACTTCGGTTCTATGAAGAAATAAAAAAAGTATTTTTAAATTTAAGGTGTAATTATTGTGTATAGCTAGTCAATATTATTACAAATAATTTGTGTCAGTGTTATGTGTCATGGATGTTTAGTACAAAATATAAAATTTACCGTTTCCGTGCGAGCTAACATTTTTACCTATTTTTGCAAAAAAAAAAAATTCATCGGTTTCCATTCGCGGCGGTGGTGGTTGTGGTACTCTGAGCATTGTTTTTCATGGTGGTCTGCTTTGATAAGCATTAAAAGTGCAAATATAAGTGTCCACTTTACTAAACATTACTTTTCGGATTTTTTCGTAATCATAAATATTTTTATAAAACATTTTTGTATTAACTAACTAAAAGATTTTGTTGTCTCCGGAAGTGTGTACTCAATATAGATGTCTGCCGTGATCAACATAAGTTTTAAGACCCTATATATTTGATATATAATTAAATATATCAATGGCAGATCTGGTCAATTACTTCCAAATTTTTTTTGCTCTTTAAAACTGTCTGCCATAATGCTAAACGCGCGATAATGGTCTGCTATTATTTTTACTGATGATAATAATAAAAAAATATTTTCAAATTTCAAAATGGCAGACGTGGTCAAATGCATTTATAATTTGCGAAAAATCGATACCTGTCTTACTTGAACGCCCGCCGCGTCCACCACTTTGGGCTTAGTGACTTCCCATCTCATGTATGGTAGAGATAGAGTCCTCACTGTACAAAACTCCATGTCCGGTCAAATACATACAGGTAGCTTTTAATGGCTCTAAGACTATAAAGCACACAAATATATCCGGCTATACTGTCAGAAGCGTCCCCGCCCTCCGACGTGGACCGCGGGTGCGGCGGTGGAGTTGCTTGTTATATTAGGAAGGGTTTGAATGTGAAAATTTGTAAACATCCAGTGAGTTCACCAGTTGAAAAGTTTTGGATTAAGTCTAACATCGATGGGAATAAAATTGTGTTAGGTACAGCGTACCGTCCCCGCAGACTAAATGTAGTTTTTTTTTAAATACTTTTGTGGATTCCATAAACGCTTTATGTGATTACGATCACTTCATACTGCATGGTGATGTTAATATTAACTTATTGGATCCAAATAGTGAAAACTGTGAATTTTTTTGATTTTGTCAAACTTTTTAATTCAGGACAAAAGTTTCCTCGCCGACCCATTTCACTGAATATAATAAATCCCTTTTAGACTATATATGCACCGACGCTCGTGTTAGAAATGTGACAACCGACGCCATAGATAGCAAAAAAGGAATCATGCGTTTATCACTTGTGAATTTAAATTTAACAAACCACGCCTGCACCCCAATTTTATTAGATATAGACCTCTTAAATAGGTATATTAATTTGCCTAATTTTAAAAGTGACTTAAAAGCTATTCCATGGCGTAATTGTTTAAATAATACGTATAAGATTAATGATATAGTTTCTCTTTTAATTCTTTAGGCACAGGGCTATTCCGATATCCACGCCCCCTTTAAAACCGTCTTAATAAAACAACACTCTTTTCCTTGTGTAATGGAAAATATTAAATTTATAATACGAATTAGAAATGATGCACATTTGAAATATCCCAATACAAAAAGGATGCGCACCGGAATTACTATAAAGATCTTAAAAATTGGTTAATTTATCTCTTGATAGTGAAAATCGGTCTTACTTTAGGCAGTATGTCAATAATTACGTAAGTAATTACAAAACATTTTAGGAAAATCCGAAAACAAACGTCCAAAGTCCGAAACAGAACTTCCTATTTATCCTAGCTCTCCTGAAGAAATAAACAAGCATTTTCTCACTCTCTAGATCTAGTCAGGTTAATATACCAGATTTAACTAATTTTGAATTTCACAAATTTAATAATTCTACTTTTAGTATCAAATGCTTAAACCAAACAGATATCTCTAAGATAATTCGTTCCCTCAAATCGAATGCTCTACGCATTGACATGATCTCGTTAGACATGCTTCTGCTAACACTAACTAAATCTTAGATGCAACTAAGACTTAGATGCAGTAACTTTCATTGTAAATAGATCGATCCATACATCAACTTTTCCACATCAGTGAAGGACAGCAATCATTCGGCCTTTACCAAAAATGCAAACCCCTCAACTTATAAAAATCTTTGACCAATCAGTATCTTGCCCTGCTTATCGAAAGTTATTGAGAACGTCATTTATTTGCAGCTTACCACTTATTTGGATGTTTAAGGCATACTCCTGCAGGTCCAGTCCGGTTTTCGTAAAAATGGAAGAGCTGCAACTGTTCTGATAGATATTTGAAACAATATTCTAAAAGCTCGGATTGCCGGAATGCGAAAAAACTAGTTCTTCTTGATTGTTCTTGTGCTTTTGATACAATAGATATATCTCTGCTCCTTTCAAATATTACGGCTTCGACGCTCCGACTGTGAGATGGTTTGACGGTTATTTGTCAAATCGATATCAGTCAGTGGAAGTGCGCAATGGCAACGGCTCCATGTCCTTCTCTTTTCTATCAGCGGTTACATGGGGAGTACCACAGGGGTCTATTCTAGAGTCACTTCTTTTTATTTTGTATAGTGCTGACATTATAAGCTGTATAAAGAACTATTAATACCATATTAAGCTGATGATTTACGATCGTATATTTCCTATCGTCCAGAGAATCTGAAATCCGCAATAGACACGATAAATGAGGATTTATCGAGAATATTTGAATGGTCCTTTATAAGCTACCTAAACCCAAGTAAATTAAAATTTTTGATTCTGGGCTCTAGTCAACAAATTGTTACAATATAGTCAGTATATTTATAATATAGGTATAATCTAGTCAAAAAATGAACAAAATGATAAAAAAACAAAACCGTATATTGTGCTTGAGTTTGAGCTTATACAATACACTCAAGAAGCTTGAAGCTTGGGACTGTCTATAGATCCCAATTTAAGATTTTGAACTTACGTTCGTGAGATTATTCGCAATTGTTTCTATCGTTTAAAAGTACTCTATAGAACGCGCAGTTACCTAACGTTAATCTTCGCATAAGGCTAGTAGAATCACTTGTTTTATCAAAGCGTAACTACTGTGATACTGTATATAGACCGCGTCTTCGTGCATCAAGTAAACTTTAATACAGCGAGTCCAAATGCCTGTGCTAGGTTTGGTTTTGATGTGCTGCTTCAAGCCACGTGACACTGTTTTGAATAATGCAGGGATGGTAAATATGTCTCATCGACGCTTTGTCATTATGATTATTAACGTTATCGTTATCGTTATTGTAATCGTGATCGTTATATATTCATAAGTAGACACTAAAGATGTTAATCTGCAATAAAGTGGAAGTCAGTTACTTCACACAATACCTAAGTCGATGCCTAGTTAAATATGTTATACCAAGAAAGCGATATATGTAAGTTAAATGTATAATGAAATAAAGCTTGTCCAAGTAGGGAATTACGAGGAAAAAAGTACGAGAATTATTCAAGCGGTAATATTTTCGACACGTGATAATAAAATATTACGCGAGCACGAAAAATATTTATTCCTTCGGAAGCCACATGGAAAAATTAGTTATGTACCTCCATGGTGTCACCTTCATAAAAATCTGCAGTTCTTATTTAATTAACAATCACGTATCATTTAATAAGATTTTATTTCTTTTTAAAATATTAACCATGATGAACGTTGCATTTTACATACCAATTTTTATGGCTCTTTCTCTATTCTAATTGAGGTATATCCAAAAGATTCATTTTGAATGCATCAACGATCTCTTCGGTTCGAAAAACGTTGACCACATAATTTATTCTTCAATCACAGGAATAAACAGAAATCATTGTGTGCTAAATCGAGGCTGTACCCGACCGATATCCCGAATACGAGGATAACCCCTCAATTCTACCTTTTGACCTTCCAAAAACCGAATTACTTCGGCCGATGTGTGACAGCTAGCATTGTCATTACGAAGAATAAATCTCTATTGTGGGCTGTTCTCTCCTATTTCTTCAAAGACTTCTGGCAAAAAATAAATGATCGTGTACCACTCTTAATTAACCGTTTTCGGATTTTCTGATGACACTATAACTACATGTCGATTTGTACTAAAAAAACAGTCAACCATTTCCACCCGCCACCGCAACCACCCGCCTTCCGCAAGCTAAACCCTTTCTTACACGATGGAGTATTACGCGTGGGCGGTCGACTTGAAAACACAGAATTGTGTTTTGACAGTCGACATCCCATTCTGCTCCCGCGCCGCGACCACGTTGTAAATATTATAATCGATTAAAACCACCGAAAGTGGTAATAATCGATTGTACAA